TAATTAAGAGTACCTGGAGATAAATGACTTACTTTTGTCCTCGAGGCAGAATTTGCCTTCGTTGTACTTGCGTACTTACTTGTGTTATACGGCTGGATCGATTCGTGTGAAATAATAGGGGGTGGGAATAGGCGGTTCTTTGAGAAGGGGGATGATTGGGGGAGGATTTCGATGGTTGAACTTGGAGTTGTGGATAAGAAGTCGTGGTATGCCGTATCTTTTCTTTGTTTCTTATTGCTTCGTTTATTTATATTCTGTGTAATTAGTATTCTCTGTAATTCGAATCGATTTGAAATAACGATACTTTTTCTTTTTATTAGCCATTCTATCGACGAATTTATCATACGATTGAGCATTTTCTTCATCTCATTCCGTAAATCAACATACGAACTTCTTGTCCACCTGGTATCATTCGAAAGTTCGACTCGAAAATTCAATTTCGGATCGAACTTGAAACGCGATGTTTCATTATCGTTCGATCGATAATTTTATTATTATTATTGTCTTTCGTCGAAGAGAAGAAACGAGAGGCTCGGAACGATACTCAGTGCGTGAAACTCGGATAAGAATGTGGAATCAGCCAGATCATAAAATTTATTTAAGAAAAGAGAACCCCCCTTCTCTCCCCCCTCCCAGAGGTACAATTCTCGACACTTGATACTTTCTAGTTCGTTATTTTTTTTACAAGTCGTTAAGAGACTTGTACCAGCTGGCCGGGCTTTCACGAGTTCTCCTCGCCTAGAAGGAAGTGGAGGGTGACTAACAAGTGTTAACGTTCTCGCGTTTATAAATTAGGAATAGACACGCGATGAGCACAAAGAAGCTGACGCTGCGTGATAATCAAATTAATTGGGATGGCAATTAGCGATTAGAACGCCTCGTTTGCGTGCTTATTCAAATTACACATCCTTCGATAAAAGAGGAAAGGAAAAAAAGAAAAAAAAAGAAAAAGAAGAAGAAGAAAAGAAAATCAGCAACCGGAAGCTACGTGTTCGATCCTTCGTAAGCAATTAGCGTGTCAAGGTACAACATCGGTTTCACGCGATATTAACGGCCTTGAATTCTTCGGGAATGTCTTCCTTGGCGAAGGAAATTAACGTTTTAGAATAATTACCGCGCGAATCGAAGTTCTAAGCGATGAATTAATTATTATAATGGAGATTTTTTTTTCTTATATATATTTATATATATATATATATATCATGAATAAAAAAAAAAACGAGTGCCTCTATCGATCGAAAAAGTCTTCCAAAAGGATAGCCTTTCTTAGATGGATGAGATAACGAGAACGAGGTGATTCTTTTAACGTGCAGAATTTGCGATTTCAAGCAATGCTGCCCCTTGTTACCTGAGAACAGAGATTTCGTAGAGAGAAGTTCATTTACAGATAGCACAGAGATGTCTTATTGTCTTAAAGATGTATGGTAAAATAATCTATTAACAGTTTGAACGTGCTTTAAAATTGTTTCGTATTGCAAAACAGAATATTTAGAACAGTTATTCCACAGATTTTTATCTGAATATCTGTAGTTCCATATCAAGAATTTGAAAAAGAATGTGCATATGATTATTTTATTTCTTTATTCGTGTAATAATTATATCCGCTAGAGTGCGCCACCGATCCTAATTTACGTATTTCCACATACGTATTCATTCAGTGTTTTCTTATTAAAAAAAAAAGTATCATATTAATGTAACGAATCAAAGTAATTATAATACAATTTTAATTACCTCAAGGCATCTTTAAATTCATGTTATCATTAAATTTAAAATGGGTATCAGATATCTGGTGCTATCTGGATTGTACCAACAAAGTAATTATTCGAATTCTTTCACATGATAAATTCGAAAAATTTAAATTATAAAGCAAATGAATTTATTTATGTTACTCAAATATAGCAGCAATAATTATTACTCCATGGCACTTTTCATTTTAACTTGAATTACAATGATAAAAAATACATTTGCTTTGAAACTATAATAATTAACTATATAATAACAATGCAATGAAAATTATTTTTAAATTTTTTAAACAAATTTAAACACTTCTAAGATAAAATAAATTTAAGAATATCAGGTTCATTTTAAACAATCGATCATTCGTTCAAAATGAATTCGAATAATTTCACTGGAACACTAACAACGACGAAAAACAGAAAAGTGCCGAGTAACGAATTCTCAATTCTTCATTATCGAATGAAGAAGTGGAAACAATGAAAATGATGATAAATAACACGAGGAAACAGTAAATAACTGTTTGTAATTAAATAAACTGCGAGCAATTGTTATTTGAGAGTATGTAAGATGTAAGATGAATGAACGAGAAACGATTGTGTGTAAGAATCGAGTGAATTGAAGAGAGAAAGCAAGAGAGAGAGAGAGAGAGAGAGAGAGAGAGAGAGAGAGAGAGAGAGAGAGAGAGAGAG